ATCTAATCTAGAAATGAACCAGTGCCGCCTGTAAAAAGAATTGAAGTTTTAAACTACCAAATCATAATATGAATCTCAAGAAAGTCAAATGCAAGCATTTTCATATCTTAGAAGGGCAGGAAAAAAATAAATAATGGACAAACATGCATGAGCCTCCTAAATGTTCCCTTTGCTCTCTTTCTTTAGCAAGATGACCTAGCCAATTGCAATGCTGTAACCACAAGGACAGGCCTATTATGAAAGGTTCAAAAGGAAAAATCATTACTTAAGATATTTAGAGGGCAAAGTAATAAACGTTAGCATTTCAAGACTGAATACATTTACATCTCCAAAGCAATTCACAGTTGCCAGCCACTGCCCATCAGAACTAGTAAACATTCTTGTTATGGGAGGCTCGGTAGGGGGTTACTCCTCATCTTGCATCTCGCGGATTGGGTGAAGACATGCACTGACCCTGAACTGCCCACTTCCACAAGCTACAACGTTCAAGCAAAACATATCAACAAACCACACACTACACAGACAACGAGACATGATGGCTCAAATTGTCCTTTCACTTTTGATAACACCATAGGCCGGCAAGTTTACTTAAAATGAAATTAGAAGTTTATTGTACAAACATACATACTAATTGGCTTCAAATATCGAACCTTGTGAATGCCAAGTTTATAGTGAGGAAGGGAACAGACTGGCAATCAACAAATGATAAATTGGATAACAAAAATAAATATATTCTTCACGTTGGAATATCAACTCATTTGCAGCACAGAACGCAAAAATCTGTAATTGAAAGTATCCAACATTACTAATTACTATCAAGTATTTAGTGCTCAGCCAAAAGGTGTACTCATCACATCATGTAACAACCACACTAGGCACTCAAGAGAAAGACTAGAAAGCAAACATCAATAAGAAATAACCATTCAAAGAAATGTTTTAAGTAACCATATTTTACAGAAAATTACAATTGGAGGTTCACATAGACAAAAGTTATTGTGCCAACTTACACATATCCTTCAATCATGCCCAACTACCATCGACTGGGAGGAATCATGATTAAAAATCATACAATCAGCAAATGGTAGTCCACAGGGAGTTGCCTTTTCCTAACATTCCATGTACTTTTCCCAACTTCAGACCACTTCAATTCAATTAGATTAGGTTTCACATGAACAGAATATGCAAATAGTACACCTGAGTTAGCAACGGTGCTACAAATTATCTTCCGCGATGACTTGCTCTTAACTTGAACAAGCAGATCAGTTTTTGCAAAGCCTCCAGTTTTGAGACATGTAGCATCAGGGAGGAAACTTTTTTCTGGTTGTACAGAAAGAATATCTGAACAATGAAAATACTGGACTAAAAGCATTGCTGCTGGATTGAAGACCGTTTTCAGCACCAGTTGAATGGGTGTTCTCTGTGGTGCAGGGAAGATATCATGTGTTGAGAACTTAGTGAACCCCTCCACAGCAAGTACAAAAAGTATGGTGTCATCACCAGCTGAAATCAGCATGGGAACCCCTGAATGGGCCCACTTATGGTAACTAAAATCAATGGGTCTTTCTTCATGAAGAGCCCTTCTACTCTGCTTATTCTGCAAGGGATCTGTCAAAAATAAGGAAAGAACGAAGGAACAGAATCGTGGATGAAATTGAAACCAACAAAATATAAGATTTCATTCACATGCTTAACAAGGGATACACAAATTGTCTCTGAACAAAAAATATAGAAATAAAATCCAAGGACAAACCTTCTCGACAGATTGGTACTGCGACAGTCAAGGCACTGGAATCATGTGTATGAAGCCTCAAACAATCAGCATAGATCCATTTCTTCATCACTGATGTTAACTCAACACTGTTGGGTAACACGGACTCACCGGACAGTTTGTACAGGTTAATCTTCAAAGAGAATAGGCTAAATAATATTTGCTATAATGTCACATGGTCTGTAAACTCAATATAAGATAGCAAGGCGCCAAAGTGGAAAGAGGGAAAGTAGGTTAAAAAAATGTAAAATCAGGAGCACATATTGACTCATACATAACTGGATGAGGACAACGTCAAATGCCTGAGACTGCATATATATATATATATATATATCATGTCCATAACAATTACGGAGATGTTAAGATTATAAAAGGAGAAAATATCGTAAAAGTTCTTGCGATCAGCAATTTTTTGGTTTATTCACAGAATATAGGAAGAGACCTCTGCGAAAAATAATACATAATGCAGGCATCAGTTTGAAATTTTGTAACGCAGGGAAGGGGGAATGTTAAAATTTAAATGCACATGGTTTAAATATTTAGCAATGACCAAAACGAGGAAGAGAAGCATGGACAAAGAATATGCCCTTCATATTTAACTTAGTTCAAAAGAATGGGCGTGGCAGTGACCAAACTAGTGAGTCGTGACTAATTGGTCACAGAGGCTTTAATAACATTTTATGGATCACTTGATTCCCAAAGCTATTAAGAGGTTCAACAATCATATCATCTCTAGCAGCGAATATTGTCTGGGATTTGAAGTTTGCAGCTTGATATCAGGTGATCTAGGGTTGGCTATCAAAAGTTGGGAATGACCAAAACCAGCATTTAAGTCTCGGATTTAGGAATGTTATCCCATAATATTGAAGTCTTATTAGGCTTCTAGTATTCATAATTGAGAAGCAATTTCCATTGCCTTAGACTTGCAAAGAGTGATTCAAGAAAATCACCCTTAATTACGGTGATAGTTTGACTGTTCTAAGCAAATTATCATTTCACTTTGTTCGTTAATTTCCTGTGGTTTTTATCCCATCTTTCATTAGATACCCACGCCAACCGCTTTGCTCGCTGAATGGTTAATTACTTCAACAGGAATTTGACCTCTGGTAAGACAGTAACTCCGAATGCATAATATCCTTATATGTTTAGTCAATATCTTGAAGCTCGTTCTAAAGCTTTTGAAGAATTTATAAGAGCCTTGAGACGAAGGAAGGAGAGCGAAATATTTATAAAATTTGCCAAGAGTAGGGAAAGAAAATCAAGAGATCTAGAACAGGTAAGGTGTATTAAGGATGAAGAGGGAAGAATTTTAGTTACAGATGATGAAATTAAAAATAGATGGGAGACTTACTTTTCTAAACTTTCAATGATAGAGAGGATTCATCTAGTAACTTGGAGGATTTAGTAACTGGTAAAGGAGAACAAAATTTTTCATTCTATCGAATAATACGTGATAAGGAGGTAAAGGAAGCTCTTAAGAAAATGGCAAATAGTAGAGCCAACGGACCTGATTGTATATCTATCGAAGCGTGGAAATGTTTAGGTGAAGAAAGGGTGAGATGGTTAACTAAGTTATTTAATGTGATTTTACAGTCCAAGAAAAGCCTGATGAGTGGAGGAGAAGTACATTAATTCCTATTTATAAAAATAAAGGAGATATTCAGAATTGTACTAAACTATAGAGGGATTAAACTCATGAGCCACACAATGAAATTGTGGGAGAAAGTAATTGAGCACAGGTTGAGATTGGAGACAAGTATTTCTGAAAATCAATTTGGTTTTATGCCAGGTAGATCAACTACAGAGGCGATTTATCTACTAAGAGGATTAATGGAAAAGTATCGTTGTAAAGATAAGATCTACACATGGTTTTTTATTGATTTGGAAAAGCTTATGACCGTATACCAAGAGAAGTGTTTTGGAAAGCGTTGGAAAAAAAGGGAGTACGGATTGCTTATTAAAGCCATACAAGATATGTATGAGGGGGTAAAAACTAGTATAAGAACGCCTAGTGGTCAAACAAAAGATTTTTCCTATAAAGATTGGACTACATCAGGGATCATCTCTGAGTCCTTATTCGTTCAACTTGATCTTAAATGTTTGACGGAACATATTCAAGAGGAAATTTCGAAATGTATGCTCTTCGCAGATGATATAGTTCTTATAGCAGAGACAAGAGAAGAGGTTAATTGCAAACTTGAGTTATGGAGGAGGACATTGGAGTCGAAAGGTTTTCGTCTGAGTAGAAGTAAGACGGAATATTTATATTGTAAATTTGGTAAAGGACTATTCGACAATAATTTGGAAGTAAAAATTGGGAGATCAAATTATACCTCAAGTGGAAAAGTTTAGATATTTGGGAGCCATTATTCAAAATGATGGCAAAATCAGTGGAGATATTTCAATAAAATTCAAGTTGGATGTTTTAATTGAAAAAAGCTAAAGGAGTTATTTGCGACCATAAGGTGCCTAATAAACTTAAAGGAAAATTTTATCACACTGCTATCAGACCGTCAATGTTATATAGTAGTGAATGCTGAGCTCTAACGGGACAGTAAGAGCATAAAGTTGGAGTAGCAGAGATGAGAATGTTACGATGGATGTGCGGACTACACGTAAAGATAAAATTCGAAATGAGCACGTACGCGAAAATGTGAGGGTGGCACCTATTGAGAAAAAAATGGTAGAAAATCAGTTGCAATGGTTTGGGCATGTACAAAAAGACCAAGGAGGCATCAGTGAGAAGAGTGAAACATATAACTTTAAGTCTGATTAAGAGAGATAGAGGAAGGCCTAAGAGAACACTCTTGGAAGTTGTTGAACGCGATCTCTTAATTATAATATTCCTAAAAGCTTGATAAATGATAGAGCACAATGACGTCTTGCAATCCATATAACCGACCCCACCTAATGGGATAAAGGCTTCTTCTTGTTGTTGTTGTTGTTGTTTAGTCAATATCTTCAGCCTTCACTGCCCCTTGATTTCATTGGAAAGTATAGACGACTAACAGCTAATAATTTCCATAACATTGATTTCATACAAGATATAAAGCAAAAATTAAAAGGTCATAAAGGTTTGGCAGTAATAAATACTAATTGGTACAGTTTCATGACAAGAGTAACTTATACAACTCCATAGCTTGCCATCAGAGCCAGCTGAGAATACTCTGTCATGATTTGGTCCTGTTGCCAGAGCATTCACATCTCCATTGTGCAACGAATGCACTTATAAGAGAGTTTCATGCTGGCAATCCCAAAACTGGACACTACCACTGCTGTCTGTACCAACCAGTGTCCCAGACCTAAAACACAAACAAGCAGCAATGAAGGTTTTCATATAAATAGAGAGCCAGATAGTAATCCAGTTAGAAAATTAACAAAGTAATGACGGTTAAAATACGAAGTGAAGAATCAATATTAGACACCCGATTAAAATGATATATTCAGTCTTAACCTTAAGGGCACTCTAATTAGACACTCGATTATGCTGCTTTGTCTACAACATCGTTTGCAGTGAGGTGCCCATATATTCATATAATAGCAGAAATATACAGGTAAATGCCCTAAGACTTCTACACGATCATTAATACGTACCCATCACTGCTTCCTGAATATATGCGCTTAGCGTCTGCACTCCAAGTCATACTTAATACTCGTCCTGAAATTTTATGTAACTCACTTAATATAAACCTAGCAGAACAGATAGGGATTAGGGAATCTGTACCAAGCATCATAACTCAGGAGAAGAAATCTCACCACTGACCCGTGGCAAGGATTTTGTATGCATGACCTCATCTGAGTCTGAGACAGCATATATTCGCACAGATCTATCATCACAACCCATGGCAACGCGTGGATACTCTAGTGCTTTAAGAGAATAGGCGGCTCGGAATCTTCTTCGCTTTTCACTGGTTTCACGTCGTTCACGATCGTTGTCTCTATAATAAGACAATATCCATTCCCCATATGATCATGCTCCGCTTCAGTATTGGTAAAGTAACTCTTGGATGGTACCAATGCCATCTGCCAGATTGAGACACCAATTGAACCAAGCACAGTCTGCAAAAGCATCATCAGATCGGGCGCAAGTCATACAATGAGATATTAACATGTAATCGAAGGGGGCCAAAAACAAATGGCGACATATTGACATTTGACAATGACCAGTTCAACAATGGGGCTTTTCAAAAACGTTCTTTTATTCGCAAAATGAAACATAATTACAAAAATTTAAAGAGATTTGAGGCCACAAGACAGACGATATTTGACTTCCTTAAAATTTTCTTGTAGTCTGGGAATTCTTCAAACTGTGGACCAAGCCACCGTATTAACATCCCAAGCACTTTTAACTTTATTAATCTCCACAATAAGGCAAGAGGCAAGAGGATTATTCAGCGGTCTTTCAAACTTAATCAAATCTACAGAACTTGAGGTCAAACTCAAAATAGAAAGTTATTAAAAAAAAAAAACAATTATCCCACACATTCCGCGTCAAGTGAAAGAGATCCCACTTAGAAACTGAACCATCTATGTTAGATGAGAACAATCGACCGAATGGCATACCCCCTGAACCCCCAGGCGCGCCAAATAAGTGAGGATACTCTTGTATTAGGGTTTCCATGAATAGTCTGCGTGTGTGAAGCTAAATGCACCAGGAACTTAATTAAACTAACTAACAACAGTAATTAAATTAAGAACTCCTAAACTAAAAATAATAATAATACAGGACTAAGAAGAAGCTGCTCTACCAAGTGGCAGTGCCAGGGGAGGCAAGCCAAATCTCCAAGGAGCGTCTTCATGGGCGGCTGCGACCTGCAAACCATTGACGCTGGTGGCTCAAGACACTACTGGAGAAGGCCTCCAATCTATTCAACTAATTTTACTAAGTTGGCTCATTCTATAAAGAGAAAACAAGTCACAGTCGTACAAAGATTTCATTGTTGATGGGGGCGTTCGGGAGTTCATTCGGAAGATTGAAGCATCTAGAATATAGAAGACGTCACACGGCAAAAGAAGACGATTTCGGAGGGTTTTAGCGCAGCCGTATGCATGCATGGAGGTGGAGGCTGTGGAGTCCGAAATCGAACCAATGAATTGGATGGAAGCCGTGGGCACGGTTTCAGTGCCTGTTGCCTTGGACGATTATTTGGACGTCCGGATTTGATTTAAATTTTAAATATTTTTTTAAAAGTTAACAGTTAAGAAAATATTTTGTTTCACATTTTTATTTTAATTTTTTCCCATATATTAATAAAAAATTCAAAAAATATTTGAAAATAAAATAATATTAAATCTCAAACATGTAATATTAGTCTGTGCTAATTAATTTTTTTTTAAATGAACTGTACTGATTATTGTTGAATGGCATGAAAGCCAAAATGCTCGTGAAAGACCAATCAAGCTGTGATACGGTTTTAATTTGGACACTTGGGTCACAAGATTTTTTTTAATTAATTTATTGTAGTCTAAAAGAATCTCGGTATTTCATTATTCTTCATCACATCCAATTCTTCCCCTATTATGTAAGAAATTTATTCATTTCATTTGCAGCACGTTAAACTTACAGCCTGATATTATGACTTGAATGAACGCAACCTCAGGAACATATGAAATGCAAATCTAGCCAGAGGGACAAGGATTGGAAAAAAAAAAAAATCAGAATCTTGATGTTGAAAAATTGGTTTAGCCAACATAAAGATCATAATATATTATATAATAATTGTTATATAAATTAAAAGCATGAGTGAGAGCTTGCCTCCGCTTAGTGAACCTGTTGCTTCTGGTTCAGCTCATACCCTTCAAATGCTTTGTGGAATTCCCAGACTGCTTCTTCACATGTGAATGGTATATCTGAGAGAAGTTAGAACAGTACAGTGGCATAAAAAACTGAACTTGATCGTTGATGATCAGAGAAGATGCAGCAGTACGGTAGATGGAGACAAAATATAGGAAGAAATTCACATTCATTGACATATATATATTTTTAACAGCAGAAATGCTTTACTTTCCCCATGAGCATAATTAATGTTCTGTAACTTCATATCATCTCGCTATAGTTATCCTAGTTATGACCCATAAAAAAATGACCATTGTTCGAGATTACCTCATAAAGAAGGAAAAAAACAGAGGACAAATAAATAGCATTTTTTATTGATTAAATTGGCCATGTTCTTCAGCTCGATTGGTGATGCGAAGAACATTTAATGATATCAGCCGGCCAAATTAATGGTTGTTTGTTAATTAGGAGATGAACGCCATTGGCCATATAATAAAATAATTCAACTCGGTGATCCAATTACAAGAACAATCAAGCTGGCCTATGCAATGTATTTTATTTATAATTTAGTGCCTCGAATGAAACTATATCCAATAGCATATAGATCCGAATTAAATATAGACAGATCATAAAGAATTCATACTTTAATTCGTTTCTTGAAGGAGACAAGTTTGAAAGAAAATTAGAGGGTGAGAAATTGAGATAGGAAGCTCAATTCACAATTTCAATTAATTTTTTTTTTTTAAAAAAAGCAGCAGGTTCGGTAATCTTAGGAAGGCTAGCGGAACATGAAGATGATGGGGTAATTATGAGGAAGAAAAAGAAAGTTAAGTAAGGATGATCACCTTAATTTTCAGTTGAATCCAAATCTTGAAAATCTTCAAGATCCATGAAGTTGTAATATTTGCGCTTTCTAGAGCAACCAGCCGCCATTCCAAATGTATGGGGCTCATCATGCATGGTAGAATGACTTGTGCTGTAACGGGAGCAACCAGCCTCCATTCCTATACAATCAGGCTGTGGCTGCAATTCCAACCTCATTTGTTGAATATAATTTTGATATTCGGGTGCCGATGTTGGGCACACCCCATATTCCTCCACATACTCCGATGCTTTATCTCCATATTCAAAATTAGGTTCGAATTTTATTTCGAGCGTTCGATGACAAGCGCTGCTTTGAGCATCTATTATCCTTTCTTCAATTCGCCTTTCTACTTGACCTCTCCAAAAAAAAACATGCTTTGAACGCTTGGCGTATAGATACCCACAATCAAATGATGCACGCCCACCTCCAACACATGGACCATCATTATAACAGCAGGCTTCAATTTCACGAAGGTTGTGGAAAAATCCAAAAACAATCGCGCAGAAGATGAAGCTGCCATCCCAAGGTTGTGGAATCGAAGAGAGACCCACAGATATGGAAGACTGATTTGTCCTATACATGAAGCACTCTGGAACTTTGCATAGCTCTGCTTCTGGGTAGCGAATTAGTGCGCCACGAGGAATGGGTGTGGCTATGTTCAGCTCAAGTAGCACTTTTGCTTCAATAGCTTTCACTGATTCTCGATTCAACTTCATGCAACCTAGGAAGTCAAGGTATCTCGATACTTTTTTGTCCTCTTCTACTACTTGGTCTTCAATTGTTGAAGTTAAATGTACGGTCTCAAGGGATTTGCTGTCGCAGGCACACAACCTTCGAACGGAGGGAGGGAGTTCTGGTATAAAAAGAAGCGATGCACAACTACTCACATTAAGAAGTTGCAGCCTCAAAAGATGTTTGATGCCTCCAGGCAAGGTCTCTACAGTAGTCGCACAGAGATGTAACTCACGTAATGATGACAGCAAGCTGATGTTGTCAGGCAGTCCAAATAACTCGCTACAACATGACAAGTTTATAACTTCCAAAGAACGTAACCTATCAAATATGGAATGTAGAATCGGCGCTAACTTGTTGCAACCACCAATATCAAGCTCTCGAAGGTTGCTCAGGTCAAGCAAATTGTAGGGAAGACTAGAAAAACTCAAGTGGAGTTCTAGTTTACGCACTTTGCTGAGATGCCCACTGGATGAGGTCAATTCATCACTGACGGCTGTTCCGTATAGATTCAATTCAAAGTCACAATTGTCTGAGGTTACTGAAAAATTTTCCAGTCCTGAGCAGTCCAGAAGGGAGAGGTATCCGAGAGATTTTAGATGGGTAGAGCTTCTAAGGCTGGTAAGGGATTCGCAATATTCAAGTGATAACCTATGAAGGCTATCGAGAGTTAAAATACTTGGATGCACACTACGCAACTCTGAGCAGCCATCTAGATTTACATCTGCAAGACATTTGCATCTTGAACAGTCTGGTAGCTCGATCAAATTTCTTGAACACTGGAGGTCCATCTCGCGCAAATTTGCAAGATTCTGTAACAGCAGAGACACATAAACTACGTGTAATAAGATTTCTTTATATGTGTGTCGTGCATCACTAATTTTTGTCAATTCATAATTTTGTAACAAAAATATAAATTTACCTGCACTCCATCCCAAAGTTTTGTCAATTTGCTGCATGGCATTTCAATTTTGACAAGATTTTCAGCTGTGAATGTTCTCGGCAAGGAATTTAAAGGGCACTCAAACCAACGCAGTAGTCTGATTTGATTTGGGAACTCAATGTCATAAGGAGTATTCAACTTGATCATTTGACCAAAATAGCCATAAAAATCAAGAAATTTTAGATTAGGCATTCGGGAAAAGGCTTGAGGACTTAAATACATCTCTTCAGTTATCTCTGACACATTGAAAGATAAGGCTTCAATTGCTTCACTTCCCTAATAATGGAAAATAATAAAAAGGGATCAAAATATTGGACAAATTACATAATACATAACAAGTATAGAACTGATCAACGAAATTTTATGCTTACTCTTACCTTAGTTTGACTCAATATTTCAGAAATTTCATCAGAATTCCATAATCGACTGCGATTTTGAGGATCTTTTGATTCCTCACGGACAATTTCTTGACCCATTTCTTGTAGTAAATCATGCATATCTATTTTTCCAAAAGAAATATCTAATAGAGCTTTATCTTTAAGACGGCTCAAAGCGATAGTTGTTGAATAATTGCATGAATCTAACAAATTTCTTACATTCTTAACATCATAATCTTTGAAGAAACATGCCAAATATAAAAAAATATCTTTCTCCTCACGATCAAGTCCTTCGAAACTCAACTTCAAAATATCATGAATTTTTGAAAAAGGTGACTTTTTAAGTTTTTTTAGCTGGCTTTCCCATTCTTCTTTACTTTTGTCGAACAAGAAGGAACCTAAAACTTTTAGGGCCAATGGAATTCCATTTGCATATAGAGTCACTTTCGTTGCTAGCTTTCTTATTATTGGGTCAGCACAGTTCTTTCTAAAGGCATTCATGGACAACAGATTAAAAGCTTCATCAAAATTCAAAGCCTTGAGCTCATATATGTCATCTACTTCCTTACCAAGAGCTTGCTTATCTCTAGTTGTTATCAAGATTTTACTACCTGATCCGAACCAATTATGTCTTCCAGCTAAACTTTCTAATTGTTCATGATCGTCAACATCATCAAGAACAATGAGAACTTTTTTCCAGCTAAGTCTCTGCATGGTAGAAGGAGCTATTTCATCGCCTTTATCCCTTAATAATGTCCTGACAAGCCTTTCCTTCAAACCTTCCTTTCCAAGTTTCTTTGATTCCTCTCTCACATTGGACAGAAAACAAGACCCCTCAAATGCCAAAAAACGCAATTTGGTGAACATTGCTTTTGCAAGAGTGGTCTTGCCAATACCACCCATACCCCAAATCCCAACAAATCGAACATCATCTTGGGAGCCTTTGTTCAACAATGATTCTAGAGCTTCCATTCTCTTGTGAATTCCAATCAGGCCTTTTAAATGATCTTCGCTTTCATACATGCATCCCATCTTTTGTATCACGCATTGCACTATTTCTTTAATTAGATCGGCTTCATTTCTGCACCATTGAAAAAATAAAAAGACACCAAATTTGACATGCGCAACTAATTTGGAAGTTGGCAGATTATTGAAATTTGTTCTTAAATTTTGAAGTGACATTACCAATGACTTAAACAACATATGCAAAATTTCAGCTCAATATTATGACTATAAATGTGTAGTTATAAATGTAGTGGGTTGAGGACTAAGGCGAAAATATAGCAGAATATTCAAGATCAGAGGCAGGTGATCAGACTCGGGGTGTGTGTGATTTTGTGAGGAGGATAACATGGTATTTATAGACTCCTCAGTCCTTAACCGCCTCATGGTACAGTTCAGAGTTTGTCTCAGCTTCTTTTTTTTTTTTTTTTTTTTTGCTTTTTTAGTTGAGGTATATTCTTTTTAAAAGAAACATTCTAACCATTAAGTCGTTAAGGAAAACACTTGTCTCTTTAATTATTTATTTTTATGAAAAAAATCCAAAGGATGCTGCAGAAAGACCAGAATTGGGCAAGCGATTTAGATATCTCCACGATACCATTCTTCTAGAATTGGCTTACCATAATGTTAAAGTAATTAAATATTTCATTAAGTGCACAAATGAACATGGGGATAAGGCAGTGGACAGGTGTATTTGAAAAATATTGCTCACATTTTGTGGGGAAATTTTAGTATTTTACACTGTTTTAGATGAGATGTTATTTTGGAATCAGATTGCAAGAATCTGGTTGATCAGCTAAATGGGGACCATGATAGCTCTAATGTATAGGTGCAAATGTTCATTTAGACTTATTCATGATATAACCGGTCAGTACCCGTTAAGCATTAATATTAATTACATATTTTTATTAAAAATTTATTGCTTGCTTATACATAAATAACCAGTCATTATTTTTCTATTAAGCATTAATGTTACTCATATATTCACAATAAAAAATATTATTTCTACGTACAGCCGGCTGAAAGAAGTTTTTTGAAACTATAAATTACTTAAATCTTATTTAAAATCAACACGTTACAAATTACATTAAATAAATTAGTTAAATTATCTATTGAAAGTGAATAAATGTTAGAATTATTTGATTACAAAATTTTAATACCTATTTTTGCGGCTCAAAAAGTTAGAAAAATATACAAAAATAGGTAAATGATGAGATATTAACTCTATTAAATAATTTTGTTTTAGGCTACAAAATTTCTTCAGACGGCTTACTAATGACTTAAACTACATGTCTAAAATTTCAGCTCAATATTATGACTATAAATCCATCATTATAAATAAAGGAAATCTAAAAGCTAGCCAGTGGGACGAGGATTAAGGTAAAAATAACAGAATATTCAAAAATCAAAATTCGGAACAGTGATGTTCAAAGACTAATTGATTTAGCTGAATCGTTCAGAGAGAGATAATAATTAAGCATATAGTTACCTATCCAAGCTACAATGCCAGCCACCTAAATTGGAAGCGTAAGTGAGAGCCTCCCTCCACTTTTGCAGTTGCTGCTTGCTGATGCCTTTGTGGTCATGTTCTTCAAATGCTTTCTCGTAACTCCCAGACTGCTTCCTCACATTTGCAGGATCTACTCTATAGAACACTGGCATCACCGAATTATGACCTTGATTTTTGGAGCACTCTAATATTTTGGTAAGCTCCTTCAAGCACCACGTGGAAGATGCATATTTTTCTGAGAAGACCACAAGGAATAGAGTCGAATCTTCAATGGCTTTCTCAAGAGAGGGCCATACCTCATCTCCTTTCTCGATTCCGTTGTCGATAAATGTTGTAATTTTGTCTCTGCAAAGAGCACTGTGAAGATGGCTTGTGAAATTGAGGCGGGTGTCCTCACCTCTGAAGCTAATAAAAACACCATATTCCTTTGCAGGTCGAGATGATGGAGCAGAGGAAGAAGACGACGCCATATCAGATTGCTTAGCTTGCTTTGATACGCAAAAGAGAATTGGGACTCCTTCAGATCGGATCTAAGAATTATTTGTGAATGGAAAGAAAAAGGCCGATGGGGGAGATATGTAAGAGAGGAGATTGTGACCGTAGAATTAAAGCAATGCATACGAAACTTCCACGAATTAATGTAACAAGAAGAATAATAAATAATTATTAATAAAAGCAAAGCTGGTTGTACATTCCCCTTTTCCCTTGCGTTTGGACTTTGGGCGGCATATATATTTTGCACGAAATCAGAAAGAAGTTGCATTATATTTATAATTTATAAATGATGCAATTTCTCGTGAACAAATTTGCCGATTTCAAGCAAGAAGCTGTGATGTTATTTTTGAATATGATGATTTTGAGGTTAAAGTATACTTATTAGTTATCTTTTATAAATATAATTTAATTTACTTTATCAATTATTAATTAATAAGATTATTTTATTTTAAATTAAAATTTTTAAACTACTCTTTAAAAGTAAAAGAAAGAAAGATAGAAAAAATAACACTCTCTCCGTCCTAAATTATAAAACATTTTTAAGAAAGATTCAACGTTCTAAAATATAAAACATTTTAATAAAAATAAAATTTCATTAATAATATTTTTTTAATATTATATTTTTCATATATTCTCTTTATTTAATATTTTTTATTAATTAAGTATTAAACGAAGGACATTTTTAAAAATTTATATTTTTATTTTAAAAAATAAAATTATAAAATATATTCAATAAAATTTATTAATATATAAAATTTTATTTAAAAATATTTTATAATTGAAAATGAAAGCAGTATTATATTATGTGTTAATTTTTTTTTCTTTTTACTTAAAAATTATATTTAAAGTGTCACTTATTTGTATTTTTTATATTTTTATTATATTAATATTAATAAAATTGATAAAAATAATTTATAAATAAAATTAAAAGTAGTATTTGTCAATTAAAATTTAAGAAAGTGACGAGACGCATGGGCTGGGGCAAGCAATGAGTCAAGTACGAAGGAATCAGATATACAGCTTGCAAATTTCAGATTGAGAGAGAGGAGTGGGGAGAGAAAGGCACACCAAGAGTTGCAGAAAGTCATCGAAATTATTGTTGGAAATGATGATGTATAGTGAATGGACGTACGTAACTCTTTGAATCAAAATTGAATTTCTTTTGATTGAGCTCAACATGTATATGCGCATTACCCATTGTTCACACTAGCTGGTTAAAAAAAAAAAAAAAAAGACAAAAATCATTGTTCACACTGGCAGTCCCACCCACCAAGTTCTTGGAAATTGGTCATGAAAAACTGTCATGAAAAAGTACGATTATAAGAGAAAGTGAGGGGAAACTTCAAATTAACTACAAGTTTGTTTTGATGAAGCCAAAGCGAGGGAGTGAGCGCCATGTTTGGAACAAAGCTTAAAGATTTTCCAGTCCGCTTCCGTGTAACTTCCAACAGCTTTCATAGGCTTCAGTCTCAAATTTCTAAGAAAGAATGTCCCACCATGTTGGAATTTTTCTACGCTAGTCTCTCACAAGATGCAGAGCAAGTAATTACAGTCACTGGGTGTGAAGGGAATGACAGTGCTGTCAACAGTATCAATTCGTTTCACATGTTGCTGCCAATAAATTGAATTTGGTTTTGATGATCATCACTTAATAAAAATCTGGATGAATTTTAAAAAAATTATTTTTATTTTATATTTATTATAAAAAATTATAAAATTTTAATAAATCTATTTTATTATTAATCTAGACAATATAAATTTAATCTAGATAGTTCAATTTAATATTAATTTTTTAAAATTTTTTATAAATTAATTATTTAAATGTACTCTAGACACAGTCTATCAAAAGTATATCTGGATATTCAATTTATGAAAATAAAAAATTAATATTAAATTAGACTATTTAAATTAAATATGTATTGTCCAGATTGATAACAAAGAAAATTTATTAAAATTTTATATTTTATATTTTAATAAATATATAATAAAATATAAAAATAAAACTGGTAAATTTAGATCATTCAAATTACAAATATTGATGGTCCAAATTGCTCATCAGTTGATGAACACTGAAACTGAACCCCAATAAATTAAACCGAGAAGCAAAAAGAAGATAGGAGAGAAAAAAAATAGATTTTCAAAAATAATAATTTTTAATCTCTTTATGAATTTGTCTTCTCAACTTTCTTTTTTCCCCCAATACAAATTGGTAAAAGTGTCCATTCACCTTTCACCTATCTCAAACAAGATGTGCTAAGGCATCAGTTGGAAGATAGGATTAATGTTCTGTTTGGCTGGGAAGATGAAAGAAAAGAAAATATGAAGAGAAAATATATTTTTTTTCTATTTGGATAGGGAAAAAAAAATGAGAAGAAAGAAAAAATGAGAGAGAAAAAAATTGTGAGACCTACTGTTTTTTTCTTTTAATTTTTTTTAAAAAGTGGAGAGGTTTTAGGAGTAAATTTTTTTTCCACCATTTACCCCCTCTTATTTATTTCTCGCTTTGACTCTCAAGAGACTATTTAATTATATTAATTTAATTTTAATTAAACAGTTTGATTTATAATTTTTAATTTTTATAGTTATGAATTACATTAATTTAACTATTTAATTAAATAATTTAGCCATTGGCTATATTAAGTGTCCAGAATTACATTAATTTAATTTTAATTATTTGATTTTAAAATATAATATGAAAATACATTTTTAACAAATAATTTGATTATGTTAATTTTAATATAATTTCTGTTTTCAATTTATTTTTACAAATATAATTGCATAAAACATGATATATTTTGATATAAGGGCGTTATAATCATTATAATATTTATAGCCCGTTTGGTTCAAAGAATCAGAGGAAATGTAATGTAATGTAATGCAAAGGAATGGAATGTAATGTAATAAGGATTACATGTGTTTATTTGGTATGTTATATGAGAAAAGGTATTTTGATATAAAATGTGGTTGTAATGGGGATTACATAAGTTTATTGGTGTAATCCTCTTTACAGTGTATGATGTAATTCCTTTTACATGATGTAATCCCCTTTACATTACCTGGTGCCAACCAAACAGCTGAAATCATGTAATGCATCACGATTACAGGTAATCCCTTTACACTGCATCGAACCAAACAGGCTATTATTTATTTTCTTTTCTCCCCATTTTCTCCTATCCATTCAAACAGGAGGAGAGATAATATTTTTTTAGTTTTTTTTATTTTTCTTTTCTCTCAACTTTTGTTTTCATCCAAACAAAAGGTAAATGTGTGTTTGATTTTTAATTTACACTTACCAAAAGCACTTTTTTTTTGAGAAAATACAAAAAGCACATTTGAAAGATCTAACTACTTGTTAAATTTGACAAAATCACGTCTGAATATGGTTTGAATGTGTTTGGTTACTTAAACAGGCATTAAATGAAAAACAAAGAGGAGAGATAAAGGAATTTCCATGAGACTTGTCACCAAAATCTTGATCAAATTACTGAGACTTTCACCCAATGCGTTATCAAATTTCTTGAAGGAACCAAAAAAAAAAAACCTCTCAAGTTTCCTATTGAAATTTGGGTCAACAGACAGCTCATATTTATGTTTTTACTCCTTTATTGAGTTCTAGCAGGTAAATTCGACAAATATTTTTTCTAAAATACTCTCATTTAATAATTCCTCTAGTTCTATTTTTTTTTCGGCTAACGCCTCTTGTTCTGAGTATAAGGTCTTTTTAACTAATTTATAAAATCTAAAACAATAGTTAAATTCATTTCTTTGTAATGTTTTTGATAACAGGTTATTTGTAATTTATGTGTAAAAAATTTGTGACATTTTTCAAAAAATAACATGCAATTTAATGATTGAATTTTAATTCGTGGTGATAATAAATGTCCTAATAAAATGATCGTATTTCATTGGAGGTCGATCGATAGTATGGAGCAGAGGAGGAAAACGCCATATCAGATTGATTTGCTTGCTTTGATAATGTTTTCTTGCAGTAGACTTGGTCAACCAAGTCAATGAAAGTTTGGACATTGTGCCCCTTTTTTGGGGTCATGGGGGAGATAGTGTCGGTTGAATGAATGCATTTGAACTTGAAATTTCCACGAATTTAACCAAATGAATATTTCACCAAAAAAGCAAAATGAATAAAAGCAAGGCAATAGTTTCACCCTTTGTTGGACTTCAGGTCAATTCGATCCTTCCACTGGGATGGTGTTTTATTTCTAAACCTTAAGAAATTAAATAATCGCCCAAAGTGGCCACAAAGTGAACGAATATACTAGAAAAATTAGCTTTTTTTTTAGGATCGAGAAAAATTATTAACTTGACCTGGAGTTATAAGATTTTTATGTTGATGTGTGATGGTATAAAACTTAAAAAGATAATTATATAACTGGTTTGATCTAGTTTTTCGTCATGCATGATTTTTATTGTGGCTTTTGTATATATATATTTTTTTAAAGACAAGTCTATATGAAGCCTGTTTTACTCTTTTGGTTTGATTTCTGCTTTCTACATTAATTAGTCAGACATTCATATGGAGACGACAAAACCATCAGAATGAGTAGAAAATGATGCTCTTGAAACAGAGCTAGATTTGTCTGGTGAAAAAACAGAGTTAGATTTGCAAGTCCCCTTCCGTGTAATTTCCAAAAACTTTCATAGGAATGAATCTCAAATTTCAAAGGAAGGCATTTCTACCGTGGCTACCAACTTGGAATTTTCTTATATATAGTCCGTCACAAACAAAATATTAAAAATTAAATTGGCTATTGAATCAATTAAAATACTTAATTGAATCATTGCAAGATCGATTATAAATAAAATCAGTGACATATCTAGGTTTAGGCTTATGGGGGCATTTGCCCCCACTGGGCTAGACAAAATTAGATATAAAAACCCAAGATCTTTCTATTACCCCTTTTAAAAAATTTCAATTGCCCTCTCCTAAAAGAAGATTCTCAGTTTTCTCTTCCAAAGGTCTCTCTTATCCCCAAAAAATATTATTTAACACAAATCTTATCTATATGTTATAATCTT